TCTGGTCAAAAAATTAACCATTGAAAGATGAAACCATATACCGAATTTGAATGCATTATTATCAATTTTTCTTGAGATATTGCGAAACAACTATTTTTATTTCTTAACTTCAACGCCCTGTATCTCGAGTCCCTATGTCCCTATCTCAGTGATTATGAAATCACGAGGGCTATCACCTGTCAAGCGTTGTCGGTCGAATATCGCAACACCCTGTATAAATAGACAAGAGTGAACGAATTTGAAGGCGCGCTAGTGGCATTCTGTTACTTTGGTAAATTACATCAAATCTCTTTTGTCCATTGATAAGTAAAAATCTGGAAGCCCGTTCAATTTTACATAAAAATTGTGCTATTTTTCAAAATGTCTAGCTCTAAACATTTTCTGCGTTATTCGGTCTTGAAGAGATTTCTGTTTCACTTATAACATTTTTATAATGTTAAATCATAAACAGGATTTCAAAGTATAGGTACTCAATTAAATTTTCGACCAGAAGCTAAGAAAAATCATAATGAATATTTCTTTGAACACCCTCTGCAACATTTCTATAAGGCATATATTGGGTTAAATCTGAAAATTTTGGTTTTTACTATTTGTCATTCAGAAATTTCCATTCTTATAATGAATCACCATGTATATACAGAAGGAGAATATCCTATCTGCGTAAAAATGGAGACTACTCTTTCTGAAAAATCTATCCTAACTCAGCCTAATATACAGGTTGACTATAGTGACATTGAAATAAATACAAATATTTCAAACCCTGAATAATTTCGACGAATACTATTGAATGACACCCATAGAAAAATAAAATCCTGGGTGAGACTCTTTTCCATCCAAAGTTCTACACTGTAGCAATTCTGACATCACCTCTGTACAAATTCCCGCGCGGAAAGCACATTTACGCGGAGTTCAATCATTGGAATTGCCTTGAGATTGTTATTAAATTCTCAAATCCAATTTCTCGTTAATTAGAAGAATTAGCAAAAATCTGATATCATGGTAATATTTGTTAGCCTATATTTTACTGATTTGCTGAATATATGAACTTATTTCAAAAACACCTCGTATAGATAACAAAAAGATAGAAAATATCCTTATATTTCTTTTCACTCCACCCCAGATACCTACTATCGATATCGGAATTAGTCATACTTGTTCGGGAATTAATCGGTTGAAAGGATCGACGTAACTATAATAATTATTAGTCATTTGGGTGAGGAATCAAACCAATCAACAGTCTCCTTCTAGACTTCATCGTGTACGGTGTCTATTCAAGTGATAATAAAAAAGAACTCGAAGTATTTAATATTGGGAAATTGGAAATCATATTCGGCTTAGTGATTGTATTTTCATTTGAGTGTGTGAAAGTTGTATTTTTTCAAGATGGTAAGTGTTTTTGTATAATAAATAAAGAGGCATTCATCACGTGGTTGGTATTTTGCTTCGGTATATTTCCATATAACGATGGAAACATCTTGAAATTTTGGATGGATATTAAAAGTTGCGAAAATATTCTCCATTTTGTTATGAGTTAATACAACTTTTTAAAAATTTCGTATTTGTTTAGGATGGAATAATTCACTTTGTTAACTTATACAGAGGTAGTAAAAATATAGGTAGAAATGAGTTGCAAAAACATTCGCCATTTTGTATAGAAGACTGGTATATATATACCATTCTTCAACACATGAAATTTAATGGAATCGTATCGAACATATTTGGCACGTGTGAGTGCGAATAGCTCGTCATTTTATTCTCTTATTTGGGACACCCTGCCTGATTTCAAACATATATACAGGGTGGCAATCATTCAAATTGTTTCAAAAGTGGCGTTCATTTTGTTCCCGTTTTTTGTTCAATTTTCGTGATGGAATTTCTCGTAAATTAAAAGAATTAGAAAAAATCTGATAACATGGGAATATTCGTTAAGCAGTATCATATCGATGTGATGGATATATGTACTAATTTCAAAAACATTCCGTAAATTTAATTGGGTTATCTTTGTCAGTTTTCGAAAAATATAGATGTTTTCGTAAAAATCGGTTTATATCGAAAACGACAATATCAAGGAATAGGACATATATACTAAATGGAAATTGAGGGTAATTTGGATCTGGAACCGTGAACTTAAAAAAATACAGGGTGTTCCATTTGAAATAATTAAGTTTCGGCATCTTCAATCTCGACGACAATGTTCAATATTTCGAACTGATTTTGTAGGAACGAATAGAACACATCAATATTTTTTTATAGGCCTCTATATAATCAGTTTTTCACGGAAATATAGTTTACTTACTTGGCGACCGTGGAGTCAAATATACAAAACAAAGAACAGTTGTCGTGTAGCAATTTCGACAGTGCCTTCGAAAATGCAATTGAAAACAGGGTGTCCCATTTGAAAAACTCATCATCAGCCGATATCTTGGAATTCGTACACCCTATATATATGAAAATAATTTTAGGTCATAGTACACATGAAACCCTTTAACTGTAGTAGTTGAATTGTGTCTATTAATTGCAATTGATTAAGTGCCGATAATACAAGGTGTGAATCCTTTGGTGATTTTAATAAGACAAGTTCATATCAATATATGTCCAAAACCTCTTAGTTTTTGAGCTACAGTCGCTACAGGGTGTTAAAATTTGAAGAACAAAGTGAGTTTTTTCACCATAATATTTTATCACTCAGATATCTTCATGAATTTTCATCAGCGAGGAGCATTTTTTGACTTAGCAGATTTTTCAACATTTTCACCAGTGACGTCCGTACGGGGTTCGAACTGACAATTTTTGAAGAAAAAAATGGTACGTCTCTGGTTTTTCCAAAAACCAAGATTATTTTTGTAATCCTCATTAATTTTGGAGAAAATTCCGTTCCCAGTCTTACTTTCATACGACGTACCGTTTTCGCGTAACGGTTTGGCTAATATAGAAGGAGAACACACTATTGACTCACCCTGTATATTAGATTTCGTCGCGCACAGTCGAATCAATTGGTTTAACAAAATAACTTGTATCATTTTATTGCATCATGAAGTTTCAATACTTGAACAGTTTCTTGGATTCACCATTAACTAAGATTGACCCTGAATTTTTTTATCGTACGTATAGATAGGTATTGAATTTCTTCTCACGTCCTGTAAGACAATTTCGCGAATGACATCTTTATCAAAAAGCTACGAGCCTTTAGGAAAGGAAAATTCGATATACAGGGTGATACATATTTGAGTGATAACGACCGAGACAATTTTTTCGAATGAATTGAATTTTCAGAATCTCCATGAAAGGCTGAATTCGAAAATATATTACAAATGTATACAGTGCGCCCGTTGAATTAAAGTGTCCCCGTGAAGTAGTGGATGAATTCGTTGAAAATTATAGGAATTAATTGAAAGAACGTTCGAAGCCGTTGAATTTAATTTCCATTCGGCCATTCTTTCAAATTCAATTAATATAGTTTTTCATTCCTATTTACGAATTATATTCGATGCATTTCGAATATCTCTTCCAAATTTTAAATTTGTTATGGAAGGCGATATATCATAAAACATTTTTCGATAGTCACATTTATGTCTCAATGGAGACACGACAGGTACCCTTACGAGGGGAGAGTATCAACTCTTGGCATCGGTAAACCCTCGTTGCAACCGGGGTAGGCGCCTGATGGGTTAGGTATATACAGTGTTTCTCATTTAGGAAAAAAATTCTGGCTATCTGTTCCGTTCATTTTTTAAGTAATGTCGCGTTTCAGCAACGAAATTTGAAGAAAGCTTCCAAATATATTTCAGTTTCTTATTCCATGTACCTAACTTTCATGATTTCAATTCCCAATATATTTCAAATTCGAGATATATTGTTGAAAAGGAATATTCTCAGATAACTTATGAACATACAAAAATGGATATATATTTATATAAAGCAATACATTGAGAATTCGCATTCTCTATGTGATGAGAATATTTACTCTTTTTCAGTTAATTCAATAGAAAACAACTACTTTCCTGGCTATATGCCACGACGAACATTGAATTATATCAGGGGGTTCAAACTTGAACGATGGAAACTTGTGATTTTTATAGACCTCTAATCGCAGATTCGTGATAGAGTCTCAATTCAGAATTCATTTCCACGCCCTGTATGATGAATGTCAATTTATCATACACCCAAAAGCAAAAATCGAGATATATTACCAACAGTGTTTTAGATCGAAGAAGCGACGTATTATTCATCGACAGAAAAATTGTACAGGAGTTCAAATCAGACCAGAAACCAGCGACCGGTGATGAGTTTTTCATTCCTATTACGAATTATATTCAATCCATTTCGAATATCTCTTCCAAATTTTATATTTGTTATGGAAGGCGATATATATCATAAAACATTTTGCAATAGTCACATTTATGTCTCAATGGAGACACGACAGGTACCCTCACGAGGGGAGATTATCATACTTCTGATAAGCAGTTTTTGTATATACCGAGCTTCAGTGCTCGCTGTTCTATTCTCTTTCTATGGACTTACTGAAACGAACATGGATGAAGGATGAAGCCCTATACTGTAACTCTTAACTCATAGGAGTGGAGTAAAAATACAGATCCACTTTCATTAGTTGCGTTTCAACTAATGAAACAACGTACAACCACGGAAATTAAAATGCATTAACAGTGACTGTTGTCCACGCATGGACCGATGCTCGTTCACAACTTCTTTGCTTGTTGTGGTCGGACTACTATGTGGTCAGATCTGCCGCTGAACGTAGCCCTTGTCTTTTGGATTCATTTACGTCGACATATTGCAATTTAACTGTTAAATCTCCGTAGCTTTGAAGTTGGAATCATTTCATGTTGAGCAGAGATTAGTCAACCATTAGAAATAAAGAGATTAGTCGACAAGCCGAGACCCAAACACGATCAAATTAGGTTAGATCATCATTATGTTAGATTTAACAAATGACAATCTGTAGTTAAGGGATAATAGGAGTGAGAAAATAATATAAGTAATAACAGTGGTGAATCCTCCTTTTAATGTTTACGTACAACATTTGGCGTACAACATATATAATGTTACAAAACAATGTCAAGACTAGAAAACATTTTATTACTTTCCTGTATCTACCTATAAATATAAATACACACCATTTATATAAATAATCTCTGTGATGATTATTTCAATCTCACATCATAATGAGATGTCAACTATTAAGGACTGACGATGAAAAAATTTGTTTAAGGATTTGTGGTAATTCACTAGTGTCATAGCATATAAATGATCTTCCAGCTGGCAACTGTTGAGTCAACCTGAAAAAAATTCAACTTTCATTTATAGAAGTCACTCACATAAGGAAGCTTATAGAAAAAACCTAACCCTACTTAAAAATACCTACCTCTCAGCTTGATCTCCCAAACTCCCGATGAATATAGCAAAACAGCTGACATTCGGTTTCGCAGACATGGCTTGCGCCAACTTTGAGGGGTGAATACCGTATCTCTGTAAATTGGCATCTGACAGCACCACCACAATCGCTTCATCGCAATCTTCTTCAGCTAACGTCGAAACTGCCCATTCGGTACTTTCAAGTGTGTGATCCCCCGAGTAGCAGTACTGAGAATGGGCATGCATTGTCTGAAATAACATAAATTCACAATACTTTACTATATACTATACTAGTTCAAATCTTCTCCTGAAGATGCTAAAATAGTTAACAAAACAAGTGTCCAGTCGTTTAAAAAATCGGTCTGGTTAGTGGCAAAATAGTGTAGTGGAGTATCTAAACTTACCCTGATAACTTCTAGCATGTCCTTACTGTTCGTAGGAGGTCTGTCTCTAGGTACAAACACGATATTGTACTCGTCGCCAGAGTGACCGATTATATCGTATTTGATTTTATCCTCGTAACCTTGGAATGCTTCCATGACCAAAACGGCTGCTTCAAGTTCTCTGTCTAATCGACCGTCATAAGAATTGAACCTGTACATGCTGCCAGACACATCCACAAGGACTCTGAACAGTTTTGGTTTGATCTGTGGGGTTCCTAGTTCGGGTTCCTGCTCAGATCTGCGCCTGAATATTGTTTTCTCACCGAGCAAACCTACAAAATGATTGAGTAGTGCAAGGATTTCTTACTAGATTGAAGAGGTCAGACATGGTTCAGGATTACTGAACTTCCGCCTTCTCCAAAACAATTAGCAAAAATAGACAGAGGTTATAGTTTGTAACTCGACCATGAATTCAAGACCGGCAAAAGGTGAGTCATTTCAATATTTTTGTAATGTTTTCAAAGTTTCAGATAAACGAATCGTTGTTTTCAATATTTCAGATCCAGCAAGTGCACCTTTAAAATTTTTGAGCTAGCAAGATAGAGAAAGCTAGACTATAAAAAGAGTATAGCTATAGCTAGGGTCCCTTATTGATGTAAATTGACTTATTGCCATCTTAACAGGGTACGGACAGATCCTCGTCTCCTCTCACTCTAAAGAGTGTGTGAAACAGTTATACAGGGTGTCCCTAGACCAGTGGGACAGTTGAATATCTCCTGAACCAATGGGAATTTTCAAAATATTATAATTCCACATCATATCGCATTATGAGTGCTAACTTCAGGAATGACTATATTTTATACGAGGGGCCCAAGAAAGGCACACAAAATCGCACATCAATTGTTTCAAATGGAACACCCTGTATTTCATTGCATTTTTATATCCTCCTTGAAGAGCTGAATTCAACGACCTAGCACACTTGGGGTCTAGCGGGAATGATATCCGAGATATAGGTTGTGGAAAATCGAGATTTTTCATTTTTGGGAATTTTTTGTTTCAAAACTATTCATTATTGGTCATAACGGCTTACATGTCCATATGTCAACTTTTTATTTACTATTTACTCGTATTTAATTGAAACAAATACAGGTTGGTGTAGAATTCTCAGTTTCAGTCAGTCGTTGAATTCATCAGCTCTTCAAGGAGAATATGAAAATGCTTCATTCCCGCTAGACCCCAAGTGTGCTAGGTCGTTGAATTCAGCTCTTCAAGGAGAATATGAGAATGCAATGAAATACAGGGTGTTCCATTTGAAAAAATTGATGTTCGTATTGTCACAAATAGGGTTATTTTTCATTCATTCATTCAAATTCATACGAGGTTCGAAGTCATTGAACGGTCGCGTCTTTGTTTATGAATTCCAAAATTTTCGAATCGTGAACGAACTCTTTTTTCCATAGTTGAACATAAACACAGGCGTGACATTGACTTCAACGAACCTGGACTATCGACCTGATTTCCTTACTGTCACGTTTCCGAAAATAAAGACAACTATTTAAAAGACGTAAGGAAGCGGGTTCGACAGTGCGACTACCGGTTCGACTGCGAGTTGGACTGCCAGTTCGAGTTCTAGTCCTGTTTTTGAGTACAAGTCCGAAAAGTTTGAGTTCTATCAATTGTAAGTTTGTAAAGTTGCCACTGTGCCCGAACCTTCGGAGTTCGGGCAGAACACAAGATGCCCTTCCTCAGGCCCCAAGAAATATCAGTTAATTTGTAAATATAGGGTAAGTTAAGTTTTTATTAATTGTTATTTATTGCCAAGAATAAATGTGTGTGTATGTTTTGTTTGAAAACCTTTTTGAGTATTATTTATTATTTTCACTTTTGAAGTTCATTCTCTAATGGATCTAGAACACAACTTAGGCAACCCCCGCCTACAGTTTGTGACATGGTGGAGGCGCCAATGGCTCGTTCCCGAGGTTGGTTCTTCATAACCAACCTCACATTTCGAAATCTCATGTTATTTTGTTATTTCAATCAGATTATTTTTCATCTCATTGAAGTCAAGAAATATTTAAGTAGAACAGTTTTCATTATTTTAAGTATTGAATAAAAAATCTGTTTTTATATGGGGCATCTGGCCAGGATTTGCGAACGGTCCAGCATGCTAAAACTGGACTGCCTCGGTTTGATCTTCAAATGGGGCGTTCCTGGTAGTGCACACAGATAGGCATGCTAAAACCATCTGTACCCATACAAAAACTGAGTAAAAAATATAATTTTGTTTGTAGTTGTTTATGGCCTATTGAAAAACATAGAGAAACTATTATTTTGATAAAGATTTGCTATATTTCGAGAATTCAAATGTCATAAGATGATTTACATGTTGTTTAGAGGAGTAATTTTGATCTTGTGCGTGAAAAAAGAGATTATTGATGAGTGCTGAGAATTTATGATGATTATAGAAGTTAATCGAGAATTTTCATTGATTATTGAGTTTTTGTTATGTTGATCGAGATATGTGAAAGTGACCATATGAAGAAATATGAGGTGCACAATTCACAAGTGTATCCAGTGTCGCGGAATAGGCAACTGGAACTTTGAGGGAATCCTGGAATATTTGTTGCTGATGATACTTAAGATAAAGGATTTTTTCATTACTCAATGCAGAACGTAATCACTTATGACGGAATTCAATAACGGTATGGTGTAGGTATAATCAATTTTTTTCGTAATTTTCAACGCAGGCCAAGCTTTATGTTTCAAAATTTATGCAAAGCATTCGAATTAACGATCCTTGGAGAATGAACAAGAATTATAAAGTTTTATGAGGAAGCACACATTTTTTCAGTTTTTCTCACTTAATGTTATATATAACCATTTACTTTTAGGGTTTTTAAATGTTTGCATGAATAGTAATTAAGTTTTAATGGCAATTTTTATGATAATTATTAGTTGAAGACTGAATATAGGTATAAATTGATGTTGATGAATGCCTATTGCATCCAATATGTCTGTCTTGAAAGATTATTGACTTGAAGATTTTTGTGCATTATTTGACAAATATGGAGTTCAAAGAGAAAAGTAGATATATTGATATTTTAAATTCATATAAGCATAAAATATTCGAGGTAAATGAAGGTGTATTGATAGTGGGATTTGATTAACAAAATAAGAATAATTTTACCGTATAATGACCCGTGGACCCCAGAAGTAACCGAAATTGATATGTCTGAAATAATTGAGGAGGAGGAAAATCAAGAATCAGATAACGAAGAAATTTAATTTTTATCGTACTTTCGTATTGTTTAGGTAACTTGAACAGTTCTGAGTGATTTTAGTATCTTTTTCATTAGGAGACATGCTCTGATAATATATTAAAGGATTTTAAGATATCGGCTAATGTAGATACGAAGAGCTTTTAATGTGAGGAAACTATTGATATGCAGTGAAGAGCACTGTATACGGGCTATCAGGAAACCCAAACAGGGTAGAGTATAGCTAAAGTAGAGATTTGTGTCTTTGACCAAGGAGTCAAGGAAACTATCGCTGTCGACTTGATCAGTGCAGTAGTCACTGTGGATATCGGATCATCACCCTGTATCATTCAATACCCGTCGAGGTAAGTAGCCAGGGGAGTAGTTGTTTCAGGAAATGGTCCGAATTAGTCGAAAGTAAAGCGATAAGATGAGATAATTAATTGATGTTATTGATACAGTATTGAGAATATAAGAATTATTGAGGTTATGAGAATTATTGAGCGTACCTATTAAGATTTTGAGATTATTGAATTCGTGGAATTTTGAGAAATTGGTACATTATTAGGTGTGCAATGATGTGCAAAGGTTGGCCAACCAAACGTCAAGTGAGCTCAAGGGTTTCATCACGCGAACTCCCGGAAAATGTTCTACATTGTAGGGATATTTGAGCTATATCGAAAAATTAGGATATTAGACAAACGTTTCAATAATTAGAGCAGGGAGGATGGACTCTGAAGCAGATCTGACACATAGATGCACATATGAAGATAGCACGCAAAGTGAATATTATTTTGGTACCAAAGGAAGTACATATTGTGAAGAAAATGGGTATCAGAGAATCAGAATCACATTGGTAGAAGATAGGGAGCCGATATCGATAATAGTTAACGCAAGATGAGCATGTTTCCAAAAGTAATTGTCTTATTTCCAGAGGAAATCGTTGTCCATTTAGTAATCGAACATGTATTAATCGTTTTTTTGTTGAGTATGTTTAAGGGCAAGAAATGCATGAAGAAAGAAGGAGTTCTAAAAAGAAGCCATCATGAACCGAAACTGCGCAGAACCTATTGTTATGAAGAACGATAAGCAAAACCAGGAAGCTTACTGGTGCTAACAACAAGACGACCGAGATGACGAGATGACAATTTGAAAATATCATGGAACGAGAGATAAGAAATTCTAGGCAAGTATTATTTCCCCTCCGGAAAAATGAAATGCCTACTTCACTGTTTCATCAAGCTAATGGCAGAAACTCGCGATTCATATATTATAAATTTACAGTCTTGGGTTAGTTGATATTTCTAATAGATATTTGCATTCGAACGAATTTGTTATTGTTAACAAAATCGAAATGAGGCCACCAATTAATACACACTTTGTTATTATTCAATTTTACTCACACTATAAGTGTAGGTATTTGATATACCAAAATATTCAGAATAGCTAACAAATTAAGAAGTCAAAATCTAGGAATACAAATCAAGGTATTTCTTGGAAGGCAGTCATTCCGATTAAATGACATTCGCTTATGAAACAGAAGTATTTCAGCGAATCCAAATTGGGAAAAAATTTAAATGGTGAATGTTTTTCATATTTGAAAAACCAAAATTCAGTTCGTGGGAAAAAAAAAAAATGATCAGTAGGGAAACAAGAAATAAGAAATGGGTTGTCATATGTTCATCTAGTTTGAATCACTATCCGAAACAGTTTTGCTTATAAATAATATCCGAGTTTCGAGTTCGCGATTGTTATGATATCAGATATCATAACACATACATGAGGTTCAAGTTCAACGATAGAAAAAAAATAATGATAGGTGGAAGCGGAATTTTCAAGAAAGACAAATTTCAATACGTTATCTGGAAGATTTTATTATGGAAAAATTGAAGGGAAAAAATATATACATATATAATGAGGAAAAGAAAATGAGTATAAGGATTATCGATGGGTTAATGAAAGAGGTCAACAGTTTAACCGAGTGATGCATACTGGGGTCAGTGACAATGACATGTAACGGTCAATGTCAATATTCGAGTAAAATAAAAGCGGTCACCTCGATACCGGCATAATAAATCCAATAAGGTAGTTTCAAAATAATAATAGAAATAGTCACGCGGTACGTTAATCGGTTTAATTTTATTTAGTATAATGAGTCAGATGGGTATCACAATATGAAGTTTATTTATATATATTTTAATATAAGATTTTTAACTGCCATATATTTTCTGTTTGTTTTCATGTGATCGCACACACAAAGGCACTGATGGGTTTCATCGTACAAGAAGTGGACGCACAGTTCTGGCATCAACAACAGCAGGAGGCATGAATAGGCTGACGACATCCCGAAGGGCAACCGTTAAGGGTACCACTGCAACCAACAAGAAGGGCTATCGTAACCATACCTTGCCAGCAATAATGGACCGTTGTTTTAACAGCAACGAACGGCAGTGATGAATACAGAGAGCCATGCAACGATTGATGGAGAGATGGCATCTCTACAGCCGCTGGATAGCATCCTCAGGGCAAACCAAACTCGGTCATTAGAGGAAATCAGGGGAGACGTTACCGGACTATGGTATTTATTCAACCCAGATGTTCAGCATACCTCCGGGCCGTCGAAGCCATGCCAGGAAGTCCTGGGTTAGTTAGCCAAGCCAGGCTGATTAACAATAGCTGACTAGTCGTGTCAGTTAATCGACAGTAATGAAGCCAGATGCCAGAAGAGCCGAGATGAAACCCAGAGACTACAGTTTGGAGTGCCTAGAGACAGTGAAGTGTGTGGATGAACTCACAAATTTAAGTTGTACTATATGGACAGTTTTTAGATAGGTTTTTTTTTTTTTATAGGAATTCTCAGAAATTTTCAGTAATTCCCAGTAATTTTTTTGAAGAATGATTTATGTTAAGGATAGGAGTTTTTTTTATTATTATTAGATTTGTATGATGATAGGTTAGTACGTAGTGCTAGGAGTACCCATCTGACCATTTTTTAACGACGGAGGCCGTCGTTTTCAGAGGAGGGGCATGTCACAAATAGGGTTATTTTTCATTCATTCATTCAAATTCATACGAGGTTCGAAGTCATTGAACGGTCGCGTCTTTGTTTATGAATTCCAAAATTTTCGAATCGTGAACGAACTCTTTTTTCCATAGTTGAACATAAACACAGGCGTGACATTGACTTCAACGAACCTGGACTATCGACCTGATTTCCTTACTGTCACGTTTCCGAAAATAAAGACAACTATTTAAAAGACGTAAGGAAGCGGGTTCGACAGTGCGACTACCGGTTCGACTGCGAGTTGGACTGCCAGTTCGAGTTCTAGTCCTGTTTTTGAGTACAAGTCCGAAAAGTTTGAGTTCTATCAATTGTAAGTTTGTAAAGTTGCCACTGTGCCCGAACCTTCGGAGTTCGGGCAGAACACAAGATGCCCTTCCTCAGGCCCCAAGAAATATCAGTTAATTTGTAAATATAGGGTAAGTTAAGTTTTTATTAATTGTTATTTATTGCCAAGAATAAATGTGTGTGTATGTTTTGTTTGAAAACCTTTTTGAGTATTATTTATTATTTTCACTTTGAAAGTTCATTCTCTAATGGATCTAGAACACAACTTAGGCAACCCCCGCCTACAGTTTGTGACAGTATTTGCGAGCCTTTCTTGCGCCCCTCGTGAAAAATATAGTCATTTCGGAAGTTAGCACTCATAATGCGATATGATGTGAAATTATAATATTTTGAAAATTCCTATTGGTTCAGGAGATATTCAACTGTCCCACTGGTCTAGGGACACCCTGTACAGTCCCATCTTTATTCATTTCTGGGGATAAAGTTAAACACTAGATTTCTAACATTTGTTGTTTTTCAGGTCATATTGAGGACATTGGCGTATCATACGTAATTTCCACATGTAATTTCTCATTAAACTCTACATATTACATTCAAATGATGATGATAATTTTCGAGTTTTTGATTTTTCAACTCCAGCATAATCTTTGTGAAGCAGTGAGAACATTTTCCTGAAAGTTTAATACGTTTCACCAAATGGGAGTGTTCTTAGGCAGTACCAAGCCTTATATGGTTGAGAAATGGTAAAAAATTGTATGTAAGTATTCAAACTTATGTGCCCATATATGTCATGTGTGCTGTATTTTTCATGTTGGGAATCATTGTTGCAGTTTTTCACGAACACTCAATATTTCCTGCGGGTATAATCTATTGAATGGTAGGGCATATGCCTCTTCTTTTAATCCTCTGTTTTAATCAAAACTGTTTCTACTGAAATGCTTTAAAAAACTTGTGGAGTGGATAATTATAGGCATAATGAGAAAGTATAATATGTGATTTCGTATTAGTTTTACCTCGAATATTTTACTGATGTATTTACCAATTTTCCCCATTCGGTCACTTCACTTTCCATGTTCTAAGTTCATTTGAATTTGATGGAAAGCTGACAAATTCAAATTTGCCATCCAACTGATTGATACATTTTGACATCCTTTCAAAACAGAATTGAATAATGTCGTATTAAGATAAAGTATGAAATTAAAATTTCCTAAGAGCTCTTTTAACGCCTATGAATGTGACGTGATAGCAATGTCATGTCAGGGACGCCAATACACAAAACCAAAGTCACTAGATGATTAAAAGAGAAATGAGCTATGATCCCTCGATCCATACCCTGTTAGATGACAAATACGTCAGTTTGCATCAAGGGACCCTAGCTATAGCCAACCGTAACGTAAGTTGCTGAATTAGGCAATCCAACTGAGATTAGAATCAATATGACGCCTGGTTAGCACCATATATAAAATCAATAGAATGATGTTATTAGAACAATTAAATACTAAAATACTAAATGAAAACACACAAAAATAATTTCATTGTGTGCCAACCAGTCACGCATAGCTTGACAGGTCATTGGATTGCCATATTCATATTTCAAACCTGGAGTTTTCAGTTGATAAGTACACATAAGTTCATGAAAATTACCATCGATAAGTTTGACGTCGTCCAATTCTCCTGAAGTCTGATGCCTCGACCACTGTCTCTCTTTGTTCTTGGCTTGCAAATTCCCTAAAATAACTCTCAACGATTGCACTTGTCTGGCGACCGAATTGGAAAATTGTGAATACAAGGAGTGATCATAACCACTCATCCCAATTTCTTTCAGCTTCTCTTGGAACGCCTTTCTACCCATTTCTCTAGCTGCCTTCTTGATATGCTCTGGTACGGCATTTTTCTCTTCATCTGAAAGCTGCAAAATCATCAAGATAATATATTCATCAGTACTTATACCTACCGGCGCACAAAAAATCAATGAGTTATTAAACAAGACGGTTCAGTTTGAAACTTACCATAATAAGACTAAAAATTATGTGAAAAAAGTACTGGGAATTCAGAAGAAAATGTTTTTTTGCAACCGGCACGATCGAAAGGCGCCCATTTTGATTCCAAAATTAGCCCTTGAAATGACGTTTAATAGTAATAATAATAATAATAAATATCTTTATTACATTTTTTTAGTGTATAGTTAGGGCGAGATTCAGAGTTTGTATGTTTGAAAAAAAAGTACAATATGAAATATAAATTTGACATTTAACATACATCTGCTCTTCCATGTAACCCCAAAAAGAAGTCCAAAACAACGAAATAATGATAAATTATTTAAATCAATTCATATTAACACAGAAAGGATAATATATTTTAGCACTTCACCAAGGGAATACATTCTAAACCGAAAATCTTAATTATTGCTCAGATGGATAGTAGGGAAAAAAATCGTTTAAGTTTGAGTAGTGATGAGCAAGTGAAATCGTGGGGTGAGTTATTAAGCCGGTTAGCAATACAGTAAGAAAACGATCGTTCGAATGACGCTTAGAAGCAACAGCGGTGTCTAACGCAACAACTTACTCAATATTGAAATTCCTAAAAAATATATTGGGCAGATGGGGATACCCTGAGTCAATTATTACAGACAATGGACCTCAGTTCCAAAATTCACGGAAATCATTCTTGAGAAATTCGAATATTGAACACTATACAATCCCAATTTTTCATCAACAGGCCAACCCAGTGGAAAGACGCAACCAAGAATTGAAAAGTTTGATGAAATACTTCTCGCTATCAACAACAAAACTAACAGAGCCACTGGCTATCCACCGAGTGTTTTATTGTTAGGACAAAAGCTCCCTAAACCTAGAGATTGGGAAAATCCAAATTTCCGACAACGGCAAACTGGACAACAAAGAGACGAACGATTGGCAGAAGCTGAAGTCAATCAGAGACGATTCCGCACAAAATATTATTCAACTCGTAAAGATGCACCTGCTGTTTGGAAAAGAGGACAAAATTAAGGTCATGGTGCGAGAATTTAGACATACTGAGGACAGATACCTAGGGAAAACTTGGACTGGACCTCATACTATCGTTTCAAGGCTAGGAAATGATACGTATGAGATTCGAAGAGATGGATACAATGTCAAAGTTCATATCAACGACCTTCGACTGTATGTTGGTTCTGTCGATCAATCCATCAATCCAGTAGCAGAATCGGATCGTGAGGAAAAATTCCCGAGCAATGATGAAGGTTCGTCCGATTATGAAGGTCCAGTGACAAGAAGTCGAACAAGAAGACTGGCAAATTAATTATTGATTGTGTTTTGTATTGTCATTTCGTTTTTTTTTAACAAAAGAGGGGAAGTGTCGCAGAGTCATGCTTCTCTGCGAAGAACACACAGTAGTGGATAGGTTTTTGATATCCCTGTCACTTGACAGTGAATTCATATTCATACAATTTCTTACATCTTCGTAATTACTCGGCATGGATGTGCCAGAAAAAACTCCTCCAGCAACCTCTTTTCCAAAGAGAGTGTCCCGGTTGCCAACACGCCTGGAGAAACTGCTCACTATACTCCTCCCATCGTCTCACGAAGACACTGCAGCGGACAAAAAGTTCGGAAATAGTCGGTTTTTCGTTCGGAAATTAGAATGTAAAATATGATTTTTGTAGAGGTCGACGAAAAAATCAATTTCGCATAAATAAAAGGGACGGAAGAGAGTATATCCTTCTGTTTGAAGGACTCAATACTAACCTGGTGAACTTTGTGACCTTTATCCAGCCTGTAAGGCCCTCCTTTACCCCCTAGGCCAGCCGTATCTCTTCCACCTGTCCCGCCTGCCCAAGTGTTACCCCCAACGTGTGGCTCATTTTTGGGGTCCTCTTTCCCATGTTTAGGTTCATTTGTGTCCAAGCTGCCAAAAAACACTAGTCAAAATAATGAAAATAATTCATTTCAAATATATTTTCTTACCCACTGTATCTGTTGACGGTAACTTGAACGTTTTCTTTGGCTCTTTTAGCTGCGATGTATTCAGAAGTGATGATATTTTTACTGGAGAATCCATGTTTGACTAGAATTTCCCCGAGAGTCTCCAAAATCTCGGGACTGTATCGGTCAAAATCGAAAACATTGAATATGACGTCTTCCAAATCGTTAGTGGGGTATTTCTGAAAGTGAAATTCATATACATGTTTCCAGTTGAAATTACCAACTTCTATAAATAGGATGTTCTCAAATAGGATGTAGAACTCATCTGAAAAGAAGAAGAAAGAATTGGCCCTATTACAGGTGGTACAGGCCTTCCCATTCTTTCCTGGAAGAAGTCTTAACGGAAATCTTTTCGTGACGAAATGGTGCTGCTGCTTCACTTTGGCGACGCTCACCAAAAAATAAGAGCATGTAAATAAGTTCATTATTTTCTTGAACGTGCTACATTGTATGCCAATGTAAAAAAAACAATTGAGAAGGAGGATCCGATGACTAGCGCTAGACAAACAAAATTCCATTGTGGACTGTGGACGGTAGTCAGTTGATCAGTCGGGTCAATATATGAAATGTTCAATTGATAAAATCTCCGTTATTATGCATTTTTTATTGAGGCGATATTTGGTGGATCTGTATATTTCAATGAATTCTATATACTCTTAAAACATTTCTTTTACCATGTATATTGAAAACTTGCAAATTTACTAGGATTTTGCTACGCGACCTCCAAGAATGTGTACGTCTCTGAAGTTTTCATCCAACGGTATCTATCGAAGGAATTTTTATCTTTGACCCGATTCAGAAAAAAATTTGGTTCGTCTGTGAAGTACATCAACGAGAGTAGGTACAAAAATAATGATGTATTCAACGAACGTCAAATACATTTTCTATTCAAAGGATTTTTGAAACTGTGGCATACTTGAGTTTCCAAGTCTAAGTTTCTCTCAGATTTTTTTTAACCCCTCAGATAAAAAAATCACAATTTTCAATCAATTTAAATTTTCTAAGAAATGAAATATCGCCTCCGAAGTCGGTTTTCCACGATAAAAAATTCTAACATTTAGCTATTCCAGATTTTTTTGGGGATTTTCTCTCCTCGTCTCTATGAAATAATTTTTTTTTATGTTCTGTTTCCCACGAAAAAGGATATCCTGTAATGTTCAGAGAACATCGTGAGAAACAAGGGAAATTAGGTAAGAATTGGTGTTCTTCTTAAATTTCTGGAGGTCATGTGCCTCGGGGAACACCTCCCTTGGCAATGTGTTCCAGAGCCTCGCTGTTCGTTAGATGAATGAGACTTTGGAAAGAGATGTTCTGCAGGTCTCCGAAGTGACCACGAAGGGGTGCGAAGCCCCAACTCGACGGGTCAATCTCGAAGTGACCACGAAGGGGTGCGAAGCCCCAACTCGACGGGTCAATCTCGCGGGGACTGCCAAGGGAGGAACAATTGTTGATATTTCAGAAGAGCATCGTCCATGAAAATATTTATAATATTGAGCCAGAACGCCAACTTTTCTACGGTGTTCCAGAGAAGTGAGTGAGTTTGTGAGCGAGGCATCACCCACGAGACGAATTAGCCTTTTTTGGACAGAATTCAACAGTTTCACTCCAAATATGGGAACAGTATTCCAGGACAGGTCTGATCTGTGCCTAATAGATCATAAGCAGTTGACTGGAAGTGGAATAGCTCCTGGCCCGAAACAGGAAACCAAGTTTTTGGGATGCACTTTTAGCAATTGATCTCACGTGATTTTCCCAAGAAAGGTTATTGCTGATAGTAATACCAAGCATCAAAGTCTTCAAAGGTATGGTTACTCCTGACAAAATTATGTTGGGCACAGTGAGATCAGCTTTTCTAGAGAAAAGGCAAGCTTGTGTTTTGTTTGCATTGAAATCTACCATGTTATTGAATCCCCATTCGAGAATTGTTGCCAAGTCCATATTTATGTTGTCAACATTTCTCCCTCGTTCGTTTGTGATTTGCCTGGCTGGTATTGGAGCCCTGGAAGAGAAGGCGGTATGGAGGGTACTTCCAACAAATCGTTGATATGGAGTAGAAATAGTGTTAGTGCTAGAATTGACCCTTGCGGAACAGCAGCATTTATGATAAGATAATGAGATGAAACTACGTCGACCACTACATGGAGAGACCTGTTTGAGAGAAAACTAGCTAGCAGAGAACATAGCTGGGGAGGCATGAATACTATTTCAATATACGTGTAGGTAGGACAAATCAGATGATTTGCCCCAAAACTTCACTGCGTTTAAAGAGAGCCTGATAGAAAAATTCACTAGCTTGTCAGTGACAATTTGTATTGAAAAAGGTTTGGAAAAGAGAAATAAAGGTATATAGAAAAAATATCAAATGTTTACTCATCTTTGGATGTTTCGGGAACGAATCTGCTCCCGTTTTAAACATAAAAAATGGATTTTTTGTATTGCAAATTCGTTTTTGTCCTGAAACTCTGCAGTACTCAGTGACAATTGCAGACGTTTAGATTTCATACTTTCACAAAAAAGGGTTAAAGTCGCAAATTTAATATTTTTGGGCTGAGGGAGGTTCAAAATTCTGACATTTCGATCAATTTCTTGGAATTTCTCTTTCTTCTGGGTATCCTGAGAGATAAGTAGTTTTTCTTCAGAATCGTCAAGAAAGGATCCTCTAAAATACCTCTAGATGTTTGACGATATTGACGACCTCCCTGGTCGAATACGGATAGCTGACGATCCCCTGATCGGCCATCGTCCTCAGCTCCCCGAACACGTTCACCAGCCTCTCGATCACCTCATCCCTCACGCCGGGGCCGTACCGCTTCAGCAGCGCCATCTCTGATTCCCTCGATGGGTTTTCCACGGCGTGGCAGCTGAATAGGTCGCCCAAAGCGCCGAAGAAGTCGTTGCCCAGGAACGGAAAGCCGGGCCTGTTCGCCAGAACGATGATCCTGGAATAAGGACGAGTTCAGTTAGATCACTGGATTTTTGGATGTATGATGAATTGATTGATATTCATCATACAAGACGTGGAAAGAAATTCTGAATTGAGAAAACCTGATCACGATTGCGATTGAGGTCTATGAAAATAACAAGTTTCCATCGTTTGAACTCCTTGATTGGGTGAAAGTATTGAAAAGGAATATTCTCAGATATAATTATGAACATAAAAAGATGGATACATATACAGGGTGACCCAGGGTTAAACCGCCAAACGTTTAGGATCAGTTTTTCAAGCAAAAATAAGACTTTTCCTTCCTATAAGCATGTGTCCTAGCTTCATTTTAGAGATATAGGGTGTCGAAGTTTTTTGAAAACAAAAGTTTTTCACCAATTAGTCAAAAACCTGTGGGCTGATTTTGATAAAACTTGGCATGCTCATTTGAGGAAATGAGGGTCTCCTGTTTACTTTTTATTTAGAATAAAATTATTATTTCCAGAAGCGTCCCAGAGGGTAATCTATCTAATATTTGGATAAATCATTGTACGCCACTGTTCAATTTGTATGTTTATTTTTCAAATTTGACATTCAGAAATAACATTTTTCTTCTCATCAATTTGTTTATGATCTCTATTCATTTTCTAAAAAAAAAACATTTTTCTGCATGTAGCAGGATAAAACTATCTGACTGATATTACGACAAAAACTGCTCAAAATGACCACCATCTTTTACAATACAAAGTTCGCACCTACGTTCCACAGATCGTGCAGCTGCACGTCACTCTGCTGGTGTGATCTCTCGTGATGCTTGGACAACCCTTTCCCGGAGAGTATCTTCTTCATTGATGGGCTCAGCATAAACTATGGATTTCATTGAACCCCATACAAAAAAATCCATAGGGGTCAAGTCAGGAGAGCGCGCAGGCCTAGGAAAGGGGCTGTCTTGACCGCGACATATCCATATTTCCGGAAAATAGTGGTGCAGCCATCGTACGATGATTTATCCTAATATTAGATAGATTACCCTCTGGGACGCTACTGGAGATAATGATTTTTATTCTAAGTAAACAGTAAATAGGAGCCCCTTATAACCTCAAATGAGCATGCCAAGTTTTATCAAAATCAGCCCACAGGTTTTTGAGTAATTAATGAAAAACTGATTTTTTCTAAAAACTTTGACACCCTATATCTCTAAAATGAAGCAAGTTAGGACACATGCTTATAGGAAGAAAAAGTCTTATTTTTGCCTAAAAATCTGATCCTGAACATTTGGCGGTTTAACCCTGGGCCACCCTGTATATAAAGAAATATATTAAGAATTCACATTCTCTATGTGATGAAAATATCAATTCTTTCTCGGTTTATTCAACAGATGACAGGAGTATTTCAACAAATCATAATTCTCAGATGTCAGTTCGTTAGAGTTCTAGTTATATTATAGGGAGATGCAAATTGTGTATGTCATGAAGAATGGCTGAAAGAATAACTGGACTTCAGGTTACTGATGAGGATTTGATATCCGAAATGAGTTTTACTCGAGTGAAGTCATATATCCTGTTTGTGAAAGATATAATTCCCATATCACTGACACGAATGATTTTTTTGGAAGTTCCAAGCTCATGAAGATCAGAGTTTATATATGGATACCTACTTCTCATATACATTTCAATTTTCATTTCAATACTGAACATATTGGTAAGTTATATTTTTATATCATAAAACATCATATTATTTTATTCGATTTGAGAGATGATGTCAATGCTCAATTTCAGAGGATTTTCATTTTCCATGCACTCTTTTTGGATGTTCAACAGATATAATTCAATGTTCGACTTGGCAAATAGCCAGGAAAGTAGTTGTTTTATCGTTCCACAATCAGATCGAAAATTGACTATGGGTCAATAATATACAGTACCGCAAGCAAATCAGTACTCAAACAACTGGACAGTATCCATAACACTGCTATACGAATCGACCTTGGAGCATACCGCACGAGCCCAGTAGAGAGCTTGTTTGTACGTGGCGTCTGCAGAACCTCCACTAGGCATAAGAAGAGACTATCTAAGTCTTACATAATTATGCAGCTAGAATATCAGCCAACAAGGACAATCCAACATTCCAAAACACCTTCTCTAACAGATTTCTTACAATCTACAATCTTAATAACAACATCACACTACCCTTCTACAAACGAATTCAAAAAATATCCAGTACCCTCAATTTTGATTCCACCTATCCCATCAATAACAAGACACCCCTTCCCTGGACAATCAATATTCCTCACTGTAACACAGAACTCCTCAGATTTTAAAAAATAGATATTCCTCTTCCAGTGATCCGAAGCGCTATCAACGAGCTATCCCACAAGTACACCGGTTACAACCATATATACACTGATGCCTCAAAAACACAAGAACACGTTGGTGCTGCAGTTATCATCTATAATAATAGCTACTGCTATACACTACCAAAGAGTTGCAGTATTTACACAGGGGAAGTACTCGCGATTAAACAAGCTTTAAGCGTTGCGAAAGACCTCAATGGTAGCACAGTCATTTTCACAGATTCACTGAGTGCAATAGAAGGCATAAAACAACTTTATCCTAAACATCAAATCCTTAAGGAAATATTAAACGTGCGACAGGAAATTCAACGAAGAGGAAGATTAGTTGAGATTGTCTGGGTACCATCGCATTGCGGCATATTAGGTAATGAGCTAGCAGATACCGCAGACCGCACCGTTCCAAAAAACCCAACATCTAAGTGAATAACATACCACATTCAGATCTACACAGTCACAACAAACTGTAGAAAATCAATCCCAACTTAGAAAACCAACTCTACAGTGGTACAAACCGCAAGAACCAAATTCTCCTAACACGACTCAAAATAGGACACAATCGTCTAACACACCAGCATTTTATGAAGAGAGAACCTCCAGTCCAATGTGAAAATTGTAACGTCCCACAAAGCACACGACATATATTATCGGAATGCCCTACATTCGAATACCAAAGGAACCAATGCAATATGTCCAGAAATCTTGCAGAAATGCTGAACAAACAACCAGACCGAGTTATAAAATTCCTAGAAAGAGTGAACTTAACCAGACTTTATATGAAGGAGAATGCAAATTTTCTACTTCAGAAGATCTTGTTTTCAAATTCCTAGAAAGAGTGAACTTAACCAGACTTTATATGAAGGAGAATGCAAATTCTCTACTTCAGAAGATCTTGTTTTCAAATTCCTATCGTGTGTGTTCAATAGATGTAATTCAATGTTCGTCGTGGCATATAGCCAGGAAAGTAGTTGTTTTTTCTGTTGAATAAACCGAAAAAGAATTTGTTGTGGATCCACAAAAAGAGGATATTTACTTCAATTCAGTCCTAGCTTTTTGTTGATTATTTTTCGCGTAGATCGCAAAAAACAGTGGCTTAGTAGGTGCAGAAGAATCACCGAGAGGTATTTCATTCTGCCTTGAACGGTTCAACAATCATTGTCAGTTTCACCCAACTCCTCGAATTTTGACAATCATCTCAAGATTATTGTTCGCAGTGTATTCTGGTATTTGCTTGGTTCAATACCACGCCGGTTCGCGTACACCGAATAATTATATTGTGGACTATTTGTGAATTTTGTGAATAAATCTGTGTCCCGCATGCAATCAGCTCCCGGCTGATAGCCAAATAACAGAAAACAACTACACCCCGAGACCAGAGCTAGCTCGAGAAGTGAGAAGATCATCATACAGTGTCTTACAAGAGTATCGGAACGGTCTCATATTTCAGGAACGGCTTGAGAAAAATTCACGAAATTTTCTACAGGGTGATTATTGATGATATCCGATTCAATGGTGGCATCGGCAATGTTGCGAAGTTTACAGTTTTTCAGATATTAGGAGTAACTTTATTTTTTCAAATGGAATACCCCATTTATTTTTATTGCAATTAATTAAGCGCCTCCTAATTACTTAAGTCCCTGAATATCAGATTCGTAATTAACGTGATTTTCGAAATATGACAACATAGCATTTTCGTTAAAAAGTTCTGGAACGGTACCATATTTCAGAAACGACTCAGAGAAAATTTATGAAAACTCCGACAGGATGGTTGTTGATGATGCCCGATTCAATGGTGATATCGGCAATGTTGTCAAATCAACAGTTTTTCAGATATTTAGGGTAACTCAATTTTTTCAAATGGAATACCCTATTTGTTTTCATTGCAATACATTCAGCGACGCCTCATTACTTTTGTCATTTGTCTCCAAATATCAGATTTTAAATTGAAGTGGTTTTCGAAATATGACAACATGGCATGGCAATAGAGTATTGAATCAAATAACAGAAACTGAAAACTATCTGACCATGAACTTTCCTTGAACCGTATTGAAAATATTAGAAGGTTCCCAGACTTTTGAACGAAAATGCCATGTTGTCATATTTCGAAAACCACTTCAATTTAAAATCTGATATTTGGAGACATAAGTAATGAGGCGTCGCTGATTGTATTGCAATGAAAACAAATAGGGTATTCCATTTGAAAAAATTGAGTTACCCTAAATATCTGAAAAACTGTTGATTTGACAACATTGCCGATATCACTATTGAATCGGGCATCATCAACAACCATCCTGTCGAAGTTTTCATGAATTTTCTCTGAGCCGTTTCTCAAAATATGGGACCGTTCCAGAACTTTTTAACGAAAATGCTATGTTGTCATATTTCGAAAATCACGTTAATTACGAATCTGATATTCAGGGACTCAAGTGATTAGAAGGCGCTTGATTAATTGCAATAAAAATAAATGGGGTATTCCATTTGAAAAAATAAAGTTACTCCTAATATCTGAAAAACTGTGAACTTGGCAACATTGCCGATGCCACCATTGAATCGGACATCATCAATAATCATCCTGTAGGAAATTTCGTGAATTTTTCTCAAGCCGTTCCTGAAATATGAGACCGTTCCGATACTTTTGAAAGACACTGTATATCCGGACAATGTCCAATGTTTTTGCTCGCCACTGATTCTCACGTCCTGATTGAAAAATAAACTACAATCGCGCCTACGGAAATCATCCAATTATTCTCACCACTTACTATCGAATCAACCCCTTGTTTGGGTTCGCAACAGAATTGATATTTTCATCACATAGAGAATGCGAATTCTCAATGTATTTCTTTATATGAATATACAGTGTGACCCACTTATTCTAATGGAAACACCCCTGTATCTTACGTAATCGTTGGGTACGGATCCTGAAATTTGCTGGAGCGAGAGATATACCAAAAATGCACTCTATGACCAAGTGGGGTCATCTTCAGTAAAAATTTTGAAATTTTTGCACCGTTTCAGTCACATAGCAGAATGAATTTCGCCATCAGGAAAAGCTATACAGGGTGGTCAAACAAGAATCTTATTTATATGTTACAAAATTCTTAGGTCTTTATATTGATGAACAATTATCGTGGACTAAACATATAGAGATCACCTGGGAAAAAAGCTGAATTCAATTACTGGCATTCTATACAAAATTCGAAATTTCATTCCTCTCAGATATTTGAAGAATATATATTTCTGTCTGATTTACGCATCATGTCTACCTGAAATCCGGGTGCGTCTCAATGTACTCCTCTTCCCTCCCCTGACGCTTGGGCCTTTTCCCCACTATCCTTCTCCCGTCGCTCAGCACCATCTCTCCCGATTCCACAAGCGTCTTGAGGATGCAGGTCACGTGGGTGGGGGCCTTATCGGCCTCGTCGACGACCAGCACGTGACCGTTTTTGACCGCCTTGACCAGGGGGGAGTCTTCGTGCACCAGCAGACCGTCCTTGACCGTGGGCTGAGTGGTCAACGTTTGGACGGTGGTATCTCTGTGCAGCTGGACGTACTCTCTCGGTCTGTTGAGTAGCTCCAGGAATCTGCGTTGGGGAATATGAAAATATACAGTGTTTATTTATTTATTACAAAGTAGGGATAAAAACAGACAAAATCCAACGAGTATCCTCTTATTAGGTAATGAAATAGTGAGCTAATAATAGTGAACTTATATAGTAGACATTATAACTGATACAATATTAAAATACAATATATGAACAATATAAACATTATATGAACGATACGATTAAAACGTTATCTGTAGACGAAAGTGCGTGTGAATTTTTATCTAGTCAACGAAAGCAGAACAAGGATTTCACGTGTTTCTCAAAATTTGAAAATGAAAGTCTGAGGATTGTGATTTCACTACAGTAGCTATTAAAAGTTCTGACCATTCTGCAAATGGAAGAGTTTAATCCTGAGTTTGTTTTCTGAAAGGTGTGTTAAAGGTTTCATGGCTTCTTAAATCTCTGCTAGGTGTACTCAAGGATATTTTGGACGATAGTCCTGGACAATCAATGCGTTTGTTAAATATTTTATACATCATTAGAAGGTCTGACATACTTCTTCTATCGGGGAGAGACAACATGGAATACTTTCTGAGAATTGGACTGTAATTACTGTTTACTATTGGGATATCTGATTTACGAGCTAGTTGTTTAACAAATTTGCTCTGGATGCTTTCGATTCTCTGCTGATAAGTGGCATATTGGGGCCTCCAAACAATTGAAGAAAAATTCAATTTACTATATATGAATGCATAATAAAGGTTCAAGAGAGTTTTAGCATTCGTGAAGTGTCTAGTGTTTCTTATTATGAATCTCAATAAGCGATTACAATTATTAACGATTTTTTCGATATGAGTTTTAAAAATCATTTTAGAATCCATAATAACTCCAAGATCACAAATTTCGTTCACGGTTTTCATTATATGACCATCTATTCTGAACTGATGGTTAATTATATCCGTGAAGGTTATTGTGAGGCATTTATCATAGTTCAAAAACTAACTAGAATTTTTGCATATTTCAACAAATGAATCAAGATCCTCTTGTAGTTTGTTACAATCATCGAAATGTTTTATAGCACGTTATACTTTTAGATCATCGGCATATAATAAAAAAATTGAATTTTTGAAACTTTCACCAATATGGTTAATATAAATTATAAAGAGTAACGGTCCCAAATGACTTCTCTGTGGTACCCCTGAAGTTACCAGAAAGGGGTCAGATTTGTAACCGTTAATCTCTGTTATTTGAGATCTTTGAGTGATATAAGACCATATTCACTTGCGAAGATACGAATCTACACCAACTTCAGCGAGTCTTTTAATAAGCAATGCGTGATTGATTTTATCGAAGGCTTTACTGAAGTCGGTGTATACTACGTCCACTTGCGTTTGATCATCCATTAGTTCTATGATGTAATCTGTAGATTCTATTAAATTTGTGTCTATGGATCTACCGGGGAAAAAGCCATGTTGTTGAGGAATAATCTTATTCTTCGTGATGTTTAGAATTCTTTCATGAACAATTTTCTCGGACATTTTCCCAAAGATACAGAGTTTGCTAATGGGTCTATGATTCTTGATAAATAAATACGCGAAGCTCAGTCATTTCTACGAATTATAGGAGAATATATAGAAATGTCTTAAAAGCAGCCAAACAATAATATTTTGGAAAAAGAATGGATATTAGAGCACAAGAGGACCCAATCACCTACGTGAAGAATATTTTTCTTATCACCCACTAGTCCCGATGAACTGAAAGAGCTATTGAATGATTTGAAAAATAAACATACGTTTGGATGGGGTGAGATCTCAGCTATAATGTTTCACTCTATCTACCAGATGATGCTATGACTGTTTTAGCAGAGGCAATCAATAAATCATTTTTTCTACTACTGCTATGAAAAGTAGCGCATTTCTCATAGCTTACTTAGTTTCAAAACCATGTATTGCCCATACTGTGCGAAATATTTTTTCTCACTGCACTTTGCCAACACCACATACATTTCCATGGAGAATCAACGAAAATAGATCAAAAATTGGCTGCTGTTCAGCTTTGAATAGTTGTCACAACTGTCAGAAGAATTTTTTAAAATTCTTTAGGTTAGGTCTCATCAGTGCTTTTGATAGGAATCGCATTTTCCATCAAATATTGTTCCAACAATTTATAATAAATAATATGATGTGACGATTTTGATAAATACACCGCCAGAGACAGAGATAATGGAAAAAGCTGCGAAAGTTGGATTTGTTTCCGGAAATTTCAAGAAAAAAGTATGAATTGGCACATTGGTACAAAAAATTTATGGAATCTAAAAAAATATAGTAATAAATTCTCTTTTTTGAAATACTTTGAGGAACTAGGAAGGGCGTGTACTCTTTGGTCACAATATTCAATGTGGCATAGTGCCACATTATAAAATGAATACCAATAAGTTACATTACTCGGATTCTTTGAATAAGTGTAGTTGTAGAAGAAGTATAGTGTGCAACATGTGGGGAAAATCACTTTTCTCACTCGTGCGTTTGCATCACTCGCCCTTCAGGCTCGTGCCACAAACTTTTGCACTCGTGAGAAAAGTTGAACTTTTCCCACTTGTTGTACAATATACTATTCAAGTGGGATTTTCCCGAACTGCCTTAAGATAGCTATAATAAGTCCTTCACCAAAGGGAGGAGACTGCGAAATAGTATCAAATCTAAGACCAATTTCACTATTACCAACTCTGGCTAAGTTAGTTGAAAAATTAGTTGAAAAAAGAATGTTCTCATTTTTGCTTCATAATCGCACTCTAAGCACCTACCAGTTCGGTTTTCAAACAGCCAAAAATACAAATGATGCTATGTTTGCTTTATTGGAGGATATATATACCAACATCAACGATGGTGACGCAGTTGCGGCAGTTTTTTGCGACCTTTCAAAAGCATTCGACTGTGCTGATCATAAGATTTTTCTTCGAAATCAAGAATTTTATGGCTTCAGAGATGTAACACTAAGATGGTTCCAATTGTACCTATCACAGCGCACCCAAATAGTCTCGCTTAACAAAGAAAAGTCCAAGTCTCAATTAGTGAAGTGTGGGGTCCCACAAGGATCTGTGCTCGGACCACTCTTATTTTTAATATATATTAATGACCTAGCAAGTATTAAAATTAGAGGAAACTTTACTATGTTCGCAGATGACACCACAATACTGTGGCATAAAAACAATAATGAGGAACTGAGTTATACAATCGATTTGGACTAGTCACAAATACAACTATATCAATTCTCAAAAAAATATCTTATAAGAGGTGTTTTTATCTACTTTACAAATTTGTAATCATTGCATATTACGGAATGGATGATGATCTTGTTGAATGATTTTCTGCCAGAGGTGTAGCCAATTTTTTTTCGACGTTGCCCGATAACGAAACGATGAAATATTCACATTTATTTGACATATAAAATCCGTATCGCGACTCTAGGGGTTTACCCAATTTTTGTCAAGTTTCAAACAGGAGAATTTGAGGAATTTCAATTTCCAATTTCGGAATTTTCTAACTAGAGAAATAAAAACTCACGTACCTATCGGTTACTTTATTTTTCCCTACTCCTTGGTTACCAACTAGAAGCAAGTGATAACCCAGTTGAAAATCTTGCAGGAAATGTTCCATCAACTTGAGATGCTGTGGTACATCGTAGAAGAGAATATCCGGTACTTTGGTCAAATTTTCGGTCTTGTAAACCGGCACTGAGGTACTCCCAATAGTTAGTACCTCATTTTTGATCTCACATTTGATCGGTTTTTCTTCGCTCTCTTCAGTTACAGTTATTCCTACTGCTTCTATCGTTTTCTCTAGCACTTTTCTAGTGAGGGACGGTAAGAATTGAATCATGAAAGTTTCTTCGATAATACCGTAAATGTTGCTGGTAGGGTAGCTTTTCAGTCTGTCCGCTAGACGTATCAATTTTCTTGTGGATAGATGTCCTGAGAGGTTTTTGAGGGTCTGGTCTTTGCTGTTTCGCAAAACGTGAGCTAGGTCGATGATTTTTTGCATCGGTTTCGGTATCGGTCCGAACTGAAAAATTATTCAGAATCAAAAAGTGGCAACTCGCTAAATGATCCATTAATCACGGATTGATGATTTATTCAAAAAACTCAACAGGTTACCATGGCAACACAATTTCTTAAACAGATTACCATGGCAACAGAGTTTTTTAAACACACCTTCAGTCGTTCGAGTCGTGTCCTGTCCCCCTTGTCATTTGAAGGAACTATCAACTGTCATTTCGGAATTTTGTTGAAATCAGAATTATTCAATTTCTGTTTGTATATGAATTCTTCATTGAAAATGTATGTGGAATGTAGACGGAAGTGAAATCGAAGAGAATGTTTTCAAGACTACTTGAGAAATTTGATGAACTAGACGCCACGGCGGTTGAATGCTGTAATTCGAACTCGAATAGGATATGCTCGTTATTGATTACAGGTCTGCTTTTTGTTTGTTTTTTGTAATTGAGGTTTTCTCCGGTACCTAAGTGCTGAGAAAATAAGGTAGAAACAGTTGATTTTAATTTTTAGGGTTGTTGATAATTAAGTTCATGTGGGTTCTGATCTTCTCTTAAAAATGAGATACTGTCGTAAAACAAGGACTTTTGTGTTGAGAAGGGATCACAATTTAATCCAAACGGGTAAAATAGTACTTTGGTTTTTCCCAGTATAATGATCAAGTCTTCTGCCTTTCACGGAAACTAATATTCAGTCTAATATTCTGGAACACGAATCTACGATTTGATCGGAATTTTATAAAAAATCTGACAAATATTGAAAAAGTTACAGGGTGAATAATTTGGGCAAATTTTTTGGTGGCCGTTTTTTTTGCCGGTGAGTGTAGAAAAACTGATATCACTTTTTCATAGGAACTTTTTATGAGACTTAACGTGGTTATATTGATTTCTCTACGCGATGTTTCGTATTCATAGAACCATAATTTTTTTTTAATACGGTCCTGTTTAAAACTTATTTTACAATTCCTTCGCCGGCGCGATCACCTGATTGGACATTGCTGGATTTTTGTCTTCAAGGATACGTTATAATATTTTCCCAGAAACGCTTAGAAATGACTCATGTGCAAAATTATCGAGCAAGGAAAAATTATGAATACTTTCACAATTTTCCATGAAACCTTTCTAATAATTCTTTATTTTACAGTATACAAAATTATAATTGTGACTTACATGCTCTGTGTGGATATAATGGACAAATAGCATACTGAGAGTTGATTCAAAGATATTTACTGCCACACTCGATCTGTCAATTGAAAATTTCATGGAAATATTCATTATTTCTTGTCGACCAAGCATTTTTAATTTTTCCAAACAAATCAAACGTGAAATTTCAGTTTTACACTGAACTTGAAAGGAAATATTTATGGAAAAGGGAAAAATTCATGTTGATACAATCATTTTACCACTTGAGAAAATAGCAATAAGCGCTGAAATTAGTAAAAAAGTATAAGTGCATCCTCGTAGCATTAAATATATTATTTGCTTTTTGATCATGAAAATTGGACATGAATAAGGCAATTTCAATACTCATTATATTCATAGGTTAGAAAAATACCAAGCTACCACTGCTTTTCATGCAAAATTCCAAAATTTTAATCGAGGGTATTAGCAGAATTATCTTTCATCTCTATTTCCAATTTTTATTTATTCTTGATTATTGAATCTGTCCTTACATTATTTATTTTTGTTTTTAATTTTTGTGGATTATTTTTGGATAAAAAGAGGTAGGTACAGTACTGCCCAAATAATTCGTAACGACTCTTGGTAGAATTCAAATATTTTTGTCCAAGCAGATGAATAAATATTCAGAGATACACCTGACTATCTCCTACCACAATAAAAAATAGGTGATTAACAGCGGGTGGATGGAATAGATATTAGTCCAGGTGCATAAACCGAAGTGATTTTCACAGAAGTCGTTACGAATTATTTGGGCAGCACTGTACCTACTTACTTTTGTTGTGATAATATGCATCTCCTCCAGCTTACTCAACATTCTCATCTCGTGAAAAACGAATAGACTCAACACTTCCGGGGACATCCAATTCCCTGTCGCGGCCTGTAGTTTCGGGGGTTCCCCGATGGCGATGATCCTGAAATTCGGATGGATTTCGATGATGCCCTTCTCGTCCAACTGTTGTTTGGTTAATCGGAAACGATCCTGTAGGATTTTGAAGCGTTCGCTGCTTATAAGACGCCTGCCATCGTGAAGTTGAAGTTCTCTGTCGGAAACCAATCTAGAAATCGAGGCGAAATGATTTGAGAAATTTTTAGATTTTCAAATAATATTGCAGATTTTGGGTCACTTTTGGAGTAGTGATGAATATACAGTGGGGACGTCGAAAAGGCATTCAAAACAAAGGTACCACGTGACCCGACTTTACATTTGAAAAAAAAGTTGATGGTGGCTACTTGGTACTAGGTCACGTAACCTCAAATATTTTCATTCCTAAAAGTAGTAAAAGAGGTACCTTTTTACCTGAATTTTTCCTGCCCTCGCTAACTTGTTCCGTTCAAATGTTAAAGGGAGGGAGGGCTTTTCACGTCATCACTGTATTTATTTCAGATTTCATTAATCACAATGCATTTTCAACCTCTTTGGATCCCTATTCAATTCTATGGAATTTTTTATATCATTCAGTTTACGCAAATTTGGAATTCGAGAATACTTTTTGCTTTGAAAATGATGCAGAATAAAGTTGACAACTTTTTTCCAATGAATAGCAGATTCCATAGAATTGAACACGGAAAAAATAATACAAGAAAATATGTCGTTCGTCAAGATTTACATTTGAGGGTCAAGTAAAATTTTGTTCATTTTTTACTTCCTATCCACCTACCATATTTGAAGTATATTGATTTTTTTTTCGGGTCGAATTTCCAAAAATTTCAAAATGCCATTAAAAAATTGTTCTGAAATTGTTCTATCCGTCATTCGGTTGCCCCCTTACGAGCAACCCTCAGAAGTCTTCGAGAGTCTTGTGCGAGCAAGGAATGACGGGGGCCTTACCTTTTAACGTGTGATCCCAAACACTTTCTTGGGCCATCAGAAAAATTTCTGCAGTCGATGGGAATCGAACCCACGACCGGCCAGCGAATGCGGATTAGAATATAGACACTAATACTGATCGAATATTTTCTCTTGTTATATTTGATGCAAAATGGCTCTAATTTCAAGATGCCATAGCCATTCAATTCAACTTACTAATCAAACTGGAAGAGTTTCCGAAAATTATATCTACTCGTGGAATCACATTGTACGAAAATTTCAAAGCAAAGATGGTTAGATTAGAATATTTCAGCTGTATGAAAATTTGTAAGAGTTCTTGAATGAATTATAATATTTTGACATTACCAATGTAAGCTGTTGAAATTAACCTGCCCCTAGATAAAACTGTTATAGTATTTGAATGGATTACAGTTATTTACCCAACTAGTGTAAGAGTACTTGGATTAATTGAAATATTTTAACTTCAGCAATTTGAAACTGTAACAGTCCTTGGATGAATTAAAATATTTTAGCATTACCTATGTGAAAATCAGAAATTTTAGCTACCCCTGTGTAAAACTGTGACAGTATTTGGAAATATTACAGTATACAGTGATTTACCTCTAGCTACGTTCACTCTGTGAGATTACTTGGATAAATTAGGGTATTTTAGATTCACCTATGTAAAACTTTGAAAATCTTTGGTTGAAACGAAATATTCATGATTCATTTATGTAAAATTCCAGAAGTCATCGGATAGATAAGAACATTCTGGCTTCACATATTATTATGTAAATTTTAAGAGTACGTGGATGAATAACAATATTTCGGCATTACCTATGTTGAACTGCAATAGTAATTGGATGGATAACATACATTTAGCCTCAACTTTGTCAAAATTGTGAGTACTTGAGAATGAATTAGGAAATGTCGCCATAACCTATGTAAGATTGTAAAAGTACTTGGATTTGTATGAATCAAAATAATTTTGGCATTACCTATGTAAAAAACTGTTGGAGTACATGAACGAAACAAACCATTCTTGTTTTATCAATGTGAAAGTCGAATGGTGATTTCATTGTGGGTAGTTTGGAATATTTTGGGTTCACCTAAGTAAAAAACTGTAGTATGGAGTACATGGACGAATCAAACTATTTTTGCTTCATTCATCTGAAAGTCAAAGTGAAAATTGGGGATGGATTAGAATATTTTGGCATCACCTATGCAGAGCTGTGAGAGTACTTAGATGAATTGGGATATTTTAGCTTCAGAAATGTGAAACTGTAACAGTCCTTGGATGAATTAAAATATTTTACCATTACCTATGTGAAATTTTAGCTACCACTGTGTAAAACTGTTATAGTATTTGGAAAAATTACAGTATACAGTAATTTTGCTCTAGCTGCGTTAACTCTGTGATAAATTAGGTTATCTTAGATTCACCTATGTAAAACTGTAAAAATCTTTGGTTTATACGAAATATTTATGATTCATTTATGTAAACTTCCAGAAGCCATCGGATAGATAAGAACATTTTGGCTTCACATATCATGTGAAACTTCAAGAGTACTTGGATAAATAACAATATTTCAGCATTACCTATGTACTTGGATGGATAACGTACATTTAGCTTCAACTTTGTCAAAATTGTGACTTGAGAATGAATTAGAAACTGTCGGCATAACCTATGTAATAAGTTACTTGGATTTGTATGAATCGAAATAATTTTGACATTACCTATGTAAAAAAACTGTTGCAGTACATGGCAAAACAAACCATTCTTGTTTTATCAATGTAAAAGTCGAATGTTAATTCTATTGTGGGTGGTTTGGAATATATTGGGATCACCTATGTAAAAAACTGTAGTAGGGAGTACATGCATGGACAAATCAAACTATTTTTGCTTCATATTGGGGATGGATTAGAATATTTTGGCATTACCTATGCAAAACTGTGAGAGTACTTGGATGAATTCTGTTGATGCCATCGAGAACTGCGATTTTACCATCTATGGCAGCTCTCACTAAGGCGGACGATTTCCAAACGGTGTCGCCATTTTCTAGTGTCGTCCTCTGCTGTGTCAGGTCCCTCGAAGTCATATCTTGATACAAGACGATATTTTCGATATCCCTGTCTAGAATTTCGGCTACTTTTTCAACTAGCATGGTTTTTCCGCAGCCGCTAGTTCCTACTATGCAGGCATCAGCTATTTCAACGGTTTGAAGGATATTTTGCAGTAGTTCGTTTTGATATTTAGTTTCAACGTAAGAGGAGTTGGCATCATTTTCAAAAGAATTGTTGCTTTTATGGTTTACATTCATGGAATTCTCTGGTGTTTGAGGTGGTGCTACGTTGAATTTGGACAAAAGGTCTTCCAAGTTTTTGGTACCGTCCTTCATGAATAATTTATACGGGTATAGTCTGTATAGTATCTCGTAAGCTGTTAGGTGTGGATTTTGTTCCTGCAAGCAAAAGTACGGCCTTCAGAATATTTTGAGGATATGTGAGAGGTTTGCTCGCATACCAGAATCAAAGCTGCTAGTTTTAGATTCTCCAGTGGAAAATCTGGAAGACCGAGCGCTAAACTTTCTTTACTGAGAAGTGCGAAAGCGCAAGAAAGAATGGTTTCTAATTTATCTTTCGGGGCTGACGGAGCTAATTCGTTCAGTTCTGCTCGCCATTCCTGTAACAAGAAATTCTTTGAGAGCACGGATATGATGATTTCAGCAGGGATTTTTTATTGGAGTCCAACTGTCATACAGTGTCATTCATAAAGTCACATTTTGAATGATAATTTATTTCGAATTTCAACTTTTCAATTTTGGGCGTTAAGTTTTGCTTCGAAAAAGATGAAAAATGGCCTTCTCGGTCGGAGTCACGTGACTTTTGCCAAAAAAGTTACATTATTTCAAATCAATCGCTGAAAGTAGGCTTGTTCGTTAGAATTTCAGGAAAGTTTACTGAAGAAAGTTGTTTTTATTCAAATTTTACATACAGAGGAGTGCACAAAAAACGGACTGTAACTTTTGAATCATTCGAGATAGGGCTTTGAAAATTGGTAGGCAGCTAGTATACCAAATTGCTCATCAATTGACGAAACAATGTTTGTTCTTTCACTTCCGGTTTTAGTGGAAACGACCCCAAATTTTGATTTTCAAATGGTATTGTATTCCATAATCGGTTAGGGATTGTCATAACGAATTCATCGATACCGGGTTTGATAGGGTTATTCCAAACGATTATGCAGATATTGGCGTTCTAAGTTTCCATATGCTCAATGAGTGTGACAGAGAAAGCAGTTTTGATATTGCGAAGTCACACCCATATTGAGCATATGGAAACTTCGAACGTGAATATCTTTGTAATCGTTTGAAATAACCCTATCAAACCCGGTATCGTTAAGTCAGTTATGATAATCCATAACCGATTATGGAATACAATACAGTGTGTCCCATTTGAAAATCAAAATTTGGGGTCGTTCATTCACTATACAGTTATAACTGTTTGATAAGAATGTTCCATAAACGAACAGATTTCACAAAGACAATTTCAAGAGAAACTCGATAAAAAATGAACCTATTAGAGTTAAAAATCGAATTCTTCAATAAAACAGTCACCCAAAATTCTTATCTTCTTTACGGCCCTAAAATATTCAACATTTTACCCAAAAATCTCAAAGATATTACATATCTCAAACTTTTCAAAAAAGAAGCGAAAAATTATATACAGAAGCACCCAAAAAAATTTATATTCTTCAACTGAAATAGATATTTATCACATCAAGTTCCAAGTGTTCCAATTTATACAATCTCTTTTGAATCCTAATCAGATTTTTTTCTCTCTTTCTCTATCGATTTTCACAAAAATTATAAGTGCACATGCCATTCTAATACCATTACATGAGACATACATATGCCTTGCTGATTTAGACATTACAAAACAGGCTACAATGCCTAGCGTGAGTCAACTCCAGTGAGTCATTTTAATATCATATAGCTGTCCATTTCACCTACAAAAGTCTTGTATATAGGTAGTTTAGATCTTAGGAAATGGTGTTAATGATTAACCACTGTATTCTTTTGTGGAAATAAAAAATCTTGAATCGTGAATCTTGTTTCCGGTGAAACTGGATGTGAAAGAAGAAAAATTGTTTCATCAATTAATGAGCAATTTGGTATACTTGCTATACACACCAATTTTCAAAACCCTACTTATAATAATTCAAAAGTTACAATCCTGGCTGTTTTTTGTGCACTTCTATGTATGTGTCTCGAATTTGAACGATCTATAACAACTTTTAGTTCTTGATATTTTTTCAATTCCTACGAAATGTCTGTGATATTGAAAATCAATAACACCGACAAAACTATTTCATTCTAGTAGCTTTATCATGCTACTGACTTTCAATCACTAATTATCGGCAGAAATATGACTTTTTTCAGAAAATAATAAACCCCGCTTGAAATTTCTGTTATTTGATGCAAAGTTGATGTATCGTCTATCGTTCAGGTGCGAAATTCATTTTAAATATTCATTTCAGTACTTAAATGATGCCAAAGTCATCTTTCGAAATATCATCAGCTTCTCATTATACAGGGAAAAAATAATAGATTTTAGCCCGAGGTTGTGCGGAAAAAGACAAAAAACGTGAGCTAAAATTTAATATTTTTCCACTATGTTTTCTGTGCCGGCAAAAGCGACGATTCAATATTGAGAAGACATTACGTTATGATAAAATCAGAAAATTATTATGTGACATTTGAAATTTTTAACAGGTGTATCACCTGTGTTGCAGGCATCTTTCTGTAGGCATCTTATTGTTGCTATGAAAATCTTTTGAAGTAATCGAATATCTGTCAATTTAGTTTGTGGTTGTTTAGTAATTTTCGTAGCCGCAAAGTGGAATGGAAGATGAAAAAGGACATGCACAACAACACTCAAAAGCCATAAAAAAAGTACTCACTTTTTTCCCGTGGAAAAAAAAGAAAAAAGTAATTTATGAAAAGTGGCATTTTGTAACCTGTCAACAGAGATGAAATGTCAAACTTTTTCCCGTCACACAAAAACCTACTCTTCGTACCTAACCAAAGTTTAGGGCAGTTTTGTCGAAGTTTAAATTAGAAGAAATCAAAATATATCGAGAACTAAAAGTTGCAATAGAATGTTGAAATTCGAGACAAATGTGTAAAATTGGAATAGCGAAACAACTGTTCTATTTAACCTTTTTTGAAATTCGAACAAATAAGCCTATTTTCGGCGATTAATTTGAAAAAAATCAACTTTTGACATGTAGCGAAAGTCACGTGACTCCGACCGAGTAGGCAATTTTTCATCTTTTTTGCAGCAAAACTTAACGCCCATGTCGAATTTGAAATTAAATTATCATCAAAAGTTTTTCCCATATGATGCCAATTTTATAAATGACACTGTTGTAGAAACTTCAACTTCATGGTTTTTGTAACCACCTGGTATAGATAAGCCATTAGGGAATTGTGCCGATCATGATTATTGAACGTTTCACTGATGTTATAAAGCACTAATTATTCAAGGAAGTTTCAAAGTAATCTTAGATTTTCACGCAAAGTCGCAATTTGAACCAATGAACACCGAATTCAAGTAACATTTTCTAGACTAGTCATCAGTCAACTAAACCGCTGTTCAACCACAGTTTTTTCTTTATGAAATAATGCCTATCATCATCATGAGTCAATAGGTTGTTATGTAGAAATCACAAGTAAGATAGATATATCTAAAAAATCAGGAATTTTGGGTAGGGTGGATTTGATTTTGTTTATTATGAATAGAATAGATAAAATAATCGAAATCATGAAAAAAAAAATCAGAATGTGAAATAAAAAGATCAATACTGATAATTTATTAAAAAAAAACGATTAATACAGCCTATTCCTAGAACCATGCAATAAGATTTCCTCAATTTTGTAAACCGACCAATAACCAGGCAATTGTAGAGATGAATCAACTCCTACACGGAAATAGTAGATTGTTTTATTAGGATCAAAAGTGACACTTTGTTTGACAAGCGAATTTTGCATTTGCGAGGCGGAGCGTTTAGCGAAGCCGAGCGAAAGCAAAATTTGCGAGTCGAACAAATTCACTTTTGATCCGAATGAAACATGCTATTTTTTCTGCAACCGAAACAAATAACTCAAATAAATATGTGAAGTTACCACCAATACCGTGTATGCAATGCAACAAATATTGAAAAATAATCCGTGTGGTGAGAACATTCTACCTGCATCAACAGCAGGTTCATTCAATTTTCAAGGATGTTCGTATTGTAGTTTCAATATAAATACAATCACAGAGTGACATATTTGTGTATGGACCAGGTGCTCTAATGGCAAATACCGCGTCAGTGCCAGCTTTAGAAACAAGACTTGGAAAATGTTAGGTTAGTGAGCACATCAACAATAAGAAGAGCAATTATTTTTTCCTCTCCGTAATACAATGTTTGTCGCTTGATAATCAAATGAAGGTTAACAATATCGTTGTTTGAGACAAAAAACTATTGCTTGCCGTGATTATCAAAAAAAAAGTTATCCATCCCGAGAATAACGAATGAAATACAGATCAAGCAAGTATTTGAATCTTGAAGGCTTCCCTGATCAAAACAAAATTACTTAACTGAGATTTTAATAATTACAATACTAAACTATAATAAGGTGTATTTATATCTCCAGCATGGGTATGAAATGCCAAATCTGCTGAAATCGGGAACAAATCAGATATGCCTCTCAACCCAAATAACCAACCGTCACAATGTTGTTTATTCTTGATGACGTCCAGTAGATCCTTTTTAGTTCCTAGGAGCTAAAGTTCAACTTTAGCTCCTAGGAACTAAAATTCAACTTTAGCTCCTAGGAACTAAATATGTTGCCTAGCAACATACCTATTTTTGTGTCAGTAATAGAAACGTCAATTTAAGAGCTAATTTTGGTATCAAAACGGACTACTTTTGTGTCGGTTGCAGAAAAACGCTATTTGACGACGACGTGAGTCATTTTGACATCGATAAAAAAGGATGTACCTTTTTTATCGCTGATAAACTGCCGCTCCTTTGATCTTGTACAGTGATTCCCAACCGGTGGGTCGCGACCCCCTTCGGGGTTCGGGGTCGCGATGTACAGTGGGGCTCAAATTAAAAGTAACGACTTCTGTGAAAATCCCTTTAAAATTTCAGTTTATGCACCCAGACTAATATCTATTCCAACCGCCCGCTGTTTCAATCACTTATTTCTTATGGTGAGTTGTGGTACGAGATAGTCAGATATCTGAATATTACTAAGATTTGGGGTTAATATTCACATCGCTAGAGTAATATTTTATGCTTCATCTTATGAAGCTGACTCATGGTTATTCATTGTTTGATTCTAGTTGATTCTATGGATTGATAGATATAGTTGAAGTACTTCTTGAATAAAGCGGCATCGGTATAATTAATTTTTTTTTAAATTGAAGTTTGTCGTTAGTATATCCTCCAATTATTTTTCCCATGAAATCATATTTCTTAATCGTTCTTAAGAGTTATTTTTCTCTGAATACCTATTTTTGATATAAGAACTAATAATTCTCATCAGCATGTGCGATATGAAAACGGTATACACATAATTATCTTGAAACGCGAATATCTACCTACTTCCAGAAATTTTATTTTCAAAGTAT